TCGACCGTAAATTTTCTCGAAATCTTTCTGTAAAACCCCCTTTTTATACTCTGAATCATCAACCACATTCGTACGACCGACCTCTTTGCGGTATAACCAATAGAATTCTTTGCAGAAGCTTCGCCAACCACGCGACTGCTAACCTGCTCGCAGGAATCCCACATCGGAAAAGAGAGGGGGAGTCCTGGGCTATATTAGTAAGACTTGGACTTACATGTGCATAGGCCTTTTCCTCAGTGGGACTGGGGGAGAACAAAACCGTGCGGATAGGATCCAAAGTGGATAATATATGCATAGTGTGGGCCCGAGTCATTACAGTTGGTATCAGAGCCGACTCTCACCTAGTACGATGGGTGGGTACCCACAACAAGGACGTTGTTTCTTGTTGCTAGGGTGAGTGCAGTGGGACTGTAGCTCACATGAATCCCACATCGAAAAAGAGAGGGGGAACCCTGGGCTATATTAATAAGACTTGGACTTACATGTGCATAGGCCTTTTCCCTAGTGGGACTGGGGGAGAACAAAATCGTGCGAGTGGGACCCAAAGCGGACAATATATGCACAGTGTAGGCCCAGGTCGTTACAATCATGGTGTAAATATGATGTTTATCAATATTGATAATTTATTTAGTTAGCATAATTGGTTTAGCCATATCAATTTAAGTATGATGTGCAAAAAAATAAAAGAGAATTCACATGGGTAAATATTAAAGAACTAGAAAGTTTTTTACGAATTCTCTTATATTGCTTGTTCTCATTAATTAATTGACCAACTAAAATTGAGATTGAATCCCATGAATGCTAGAAATATCAAAGGTGAATATGGGTTCATTCACCTGCCATGTATACCACATAAGATGCATCTATGAGATGGTTACATGTGCGACTATTATTAACATGCAACATGTTGTTTGCGAGGCAACTACTCAATAATTTAATTTAGAGCATAATTTCCAGATTTTCTATTCAAGACAGTTTATCTTGATAAGTTGGTTTACATCACAGTTGGTTTAGCAAAATGATTTATTGAGTGCTTCCACTTAATAGCTAAAATATTTCTTACGAGAACAAAGTTATCTATATTAGTTTGATATAGGTTATATACGAAAGTATATTACATTCTCCCCTCACGAGTCGTTCAGGGTCAGGAACCAAATAATTCCATCTTATTTGATGTGCGGTGTATATTTTGATTAACACCATGACACACAAAGATGGACTTTCAAAGTTGAGGAAGCAAGTTAGTTTTTCTAACATGAGGGGGAGACATGATAAATAATTGAGAAAAAGTTACGTGGAATGAATTATCATTTGTATATCTAGATCCTCAAATAAGATAATATGAGTTCATAAAAATATAATCCATCTGCAATATATTGCAAAGCATGCCAAACGCATTTGCTGACCCAAAGAAAGTAACTATATTCTCACTGAAAATACTCCTATTAGAATAAGTCTTAGAAGGACAAAGTCTATGGTACACTTAAAGTGTATAGACAAATCGGTTTCAAATAAACTTCATGATAAAGAAGATAGGCAAATGATTAAAATGATCATAATAAGGAGGCAAGTGATCTAGAAGATCACATGACATAAAACTTCATAAAATCTCAAGAAAGATTCAGGTACCTGAAAATATGAATGAAGAGATGTCTATGTTATGTCTTTGTGAAAAAAATATTGGAACCGATTAAAATGTTCGTCGACGACATCTATGATATCGCTAAGTATAGATGAGGATCTTAAGTTTGTCGAATACAAACACAAAAATATTGGCCAGATAGAAGAGACGCAATTCGAATAGAATTGGTTTCATATGAAAGACAAGTATTTGGACATGTAGTTCAAACATTTGAAAGTATAAAGTCAATGGTGTGTAATCATTTTTATTTATCTTATATGTCTGGAATGATATAAAAACTTGATATGCATCTAAAGTCTATTTATATGGCTTATTTGAGTATACTTATATGATAATCCCTGGAGGATTTAAATTGCTTGAAGCATATACAATTCTTGATCTTGAAATACCACTTCCTCAGTGCAATATATTTGTGCACAAATGTATCTTGCTATAACTATAAGCATGATAATATGATAGCAAGAGTTTTCACCTCTATGTGAAGATATTGAACTGACGATTCCAACAAGATCATATGAAGACAATACATCTATTAGGGATGATGATTTCAAGGAAAAACAAATTCGTTCAAGTTAATATGGTTGATTTGTTAGTCGAATCTCTACCAATGATCTTTTGAAGATGGTGCACAAGATTAGAATGCAAATGCTTAAAGATGTGAATTAATGCTCTAATCAGGGGGAGTTAATACACGTTGTACTCTTTTTCCCTTATAAGGTTTTTGTCCCACTGGGTTTTTCTTGCAAGTTTTTTAACAAGGCAACCAAAAGGCGTATTGTTAGATTTGTGTACTCTTTTTCCTTTACTAAAATTTTTTTCCCACTAGGTTTTATTTTAGTTAAGGTTTTAACGAGACACATTATCTGTTGAATAGACATTCAAGTGGGAGTGTTATAAATAGAATTTTATTTATGGTGAATGTCTATATTTAGAGAGATTCTAGGGTTTATTACTTGGTGACTAAGTCACTCTCTCCCTATAAATAGAGGGTTCTATTCAATTGTAAATCATCCCAAAAGCAATAAGAATTTTTTCTCCCTACGTTTTTCTGCAATACTCTTCTTCTCTCTTTTATTGTTTCATAACAATAACAATAATATTGTATCACTTATTGCTCTCTCTTGTTTTGAGTTTTTTTTTTTTTAATTTAATTTTTTTAAAACTGTTTTGAGGTTTGACGCAGTCGTTTTAGGGACATTTTTGTGGGGTTCATTTCTCATACCTTTTACAACCTCAACTTACCCGCTTCTCTCTCTCCCTCACGTGTCTATTTTTCTTCACGTGCTTCGGACAGGCGTGATGCCCACGCGATATCAGTTTTATTAAATTACTCAGCTCTTTTGTTTTTCCCACTATTTAATTATGGATTGCTCCAAACTGAATTTGTTTTTATCTATGTGCTTTCACTCTCAAACAAACTTTTAAAGTCAAAGTTACATGCAAGAGGAAAAAAGCATTTAAGTTATGTTGCCAATGACGGATGGAGGAATGCATAAGTGTAGCTTTAAATTTTTTTCTAATAATTATATGTATAATAGAAGTTTTTTTTTTCAACCTATAATATAAGGTTTTAAGAATAAATATATCTATAGAAATATGTTTTCGATGATCAATATCTTTTGAAAAACTAATTTGTTCAAGACATTAACTTAGTACATAAAATATCCCGCTAAATTATTTTGTTCACCACGTAATTAATTCATATGCTTTTAGATTGATTATTATAGTAAACATGATGCTTATATAATCACTCATGCGTAGAAATAGCGACTATTGAAAATTTTTGTGTTAAGTGCAAATAAAATTAATTAAAAAAATGTATTTGCAATAATGCATATTTGTTTTACGCGTATTTAGTTAATAAGTTATTAAAATTATGATATTAAAGTTTTGTGAAGAGGTTTAATTAAATTGCTTTATTATCTCTTGAAATAATAATTATCATCTTACTTTTTCAGATATATATACACAAACCATATAGATTTTGATTTTATTACTAGATTTGAAGTACCATAACAGTAGAAGATATTTAGAAAACCTAATTAATTTTTAGCTTCATATTTTGTGTTCTTTATGCAAATATAGCGAACATTATATTTACATAAACATTAACATTATTGTTATTATGCATTAACAAATAATATGACATGCTGGAAAACTACGATACATGCAGATAAGATTAATTATATTTAGAACAAAGACGTGTTTGAAATAATATATATTATTTTACGTACATATAATTAATAAACTCTTAAAATTATGCTAGTGAAATTTGCGAATAGGCTTTGACTAAATTTATTTAGTATTTCAAAAATTATAATACTAACTTACTAAAATTTCCTAAGATATACATAATTCATATAGATTTTGATTAGTTATTATAATTACTAACTTACTAATATTTCCTCAATTTATATAATTCATATAGATTTTGATTAGTTATTATAATTACTAACTTACTAATATTTCCTCAATTTATTTAATTCATATATATTTTGATTAGTTATCACAATTACTAACTTACTAATATTTCCTCAATTTATATAATTCATATAGATCTTGATTAGTTATAACAATTACTAACTTACTAATATTTCCTCAATTTATATAATTCATATAGATCTTGATTAGTTATAACAATTACTAACTTACTAATATTTCCTCAATTTATAGAATTTCATATAGATTTTGATTCTTTACTACTACATTTTATGGAATGTACCATAAAATAGAAAAAATTTAAAAATATAATTATTTCAACTTAATATTTAGTTAATTGTTTTTGTAAATTATACCATACGTTAAACATTAATATTAATGTGACTTACGTATTAACAAACATCTACATTGTTTTGTATCCGTATTGAATAAACCAAAAAAATTACTATTATCAAATATACCGCTTTGCAATTAACATAATATTTCTACAAACTAATGATCTCAAATAAGAGAGTAGATACTAAGCCAATAATTTATAAATTAAGATCAACTATTATAATTAATTAGTTTTGCTCCAATCCACAGATTTAGTTGCAACAACGGAAGTTCAATAGACGCGCCTTTTACGAGCGTGTTGACACTGACATCCATCGGTCACTGTTGTGAATTCCATGCAAAATCCTCTCATAACCCAAGCCCCCCAATCCTCACACACACACACACACTCCCTCTTCACTTTTTAGCTCATTTTCACGCTCACAATTGTCCTTTAATTTCCCTCTTTGCCCCTCATTTTTTCCCATTTTACCTTCCCAACCCTCAAAACAGATTCTCCCAATTTTCTTAATTACCCATTTTACCCTCTTAATCCCCTCTCCAGATTACCAGAATTAAAACGCATTCCTTTATAAGGCAATACACCACTTCTCTCTCACTCACTCTCTGTTTCTCTCCTTTTAGTTGCTCCCCTTCAGTTCCGAATCGAAACGCCTCGCTTTTTCCTCTCTCTCTACAAATCACACACACACAGAGTCACTTTCTCTTTCTGCATTTGAATTGTGTGAGGCGTACGTACGTCAATGGCGGTTCCTCCGACTGTACCTGCAACGCCGGCATCGTTGTACGTTGGTGACCTTCACCATGACGTAACCGATGGACAGTTGTTTGATGCTTTCTCTGAGTTCAAAAGCCTTGCTTCTGTTCGCATCTGCCGTGACTCATCCACTGGCCGTTCCCTCTGTTACGGCTACGTTAACTTTATTTCTCCTCAAGACGGTATATATCTCTATATCTCCCTATTTTTATCTCTTTTTCCAAGTATGTACATTGATTGGTAGGGTCTCCGTGTGTACGTGTCTTGTTTTTATCGATAGAAACGTTACTTCGTGTGATCGGGTTCAAAATTCAACTGAATTTTGCTTTTGCATGGCAAATTTGGATCAGAATTTCCTGTTGAATTGATTTCATGATTGATCAATCGATTATTGAATAGACTCTAATGTACAAGTTTTGAGATTTTGTGTTTACGGTACGGACAAGCCACTAGTTTAAGTGTCTTAGTCTATTAACGTTGTGGTGCTGGTTTTGGCTGTTAATAAATGGATCAATAAATTAATCAGATAGCCTGAAAGTGAGAGAAGAAGATAGAGAGGGCGAATGTCATTTTTGCTCTTTAAGATTAAAAAAAATTAAATTGAATTATTTACTGTGTACTCATGCATGATGTTGCTTTTGGTGTACTGTATGCTAGTTCTGTCTTGTGATAGAAAAGATGTATGATATCAAATGCTGAGGAATTGATTGTCTGATTTGAGTGATTTTTCTGCTCCAAGTCATTTGATTTGATCTGTCACTGACATTAGCTGTTAGGAATATATGTTTGTTGGTGCTCTATGAAATAAGAGGTATATAAGTGGATATCTTGTGATTTTATCGGCTATAACTGGAAGGAAGTTTATTGTTTTTTCCGGTATGAGTCATTTAGGTAGTTCTTCTTACAAGTTGGATCCTTTAAGGTTGACATTAATTACATGATGTTTTTTAGGTCCTTGATGATTCATTGGTTGGATGGTTATTCTAGATCTCGATCTTGTTGTAATACTCGTTAATTGCTTTGTCGTTTTGGAAAGTTGAGAGACTACGGAAGCAAACTTCATTAACTGTAGTTTAGTTGCTTTTATCGGCTAACAGCATGTATCATTCATAAAATATTGTGGATAAGCGGATATTATCTTACCTGTGATTTTGGCGTACAAGGGATGAGCTAACCTTTTGATTATATGCCATCCCCGTCTAATGGAAAAATAAAATTCAATTGGGAAATAAAACTATTTTCCCCACATGAAGTGTGTGATATTCCAAGAAGATATCGAAACTAGTGTAATACTTAATGTGTTAGTAAGTTTTTCACTGACGGCTGATAATCGTTGTTGTTTTTTCCTGTCCTGTGATATTTGCTGCCTGTGATATTTGCTTAGAAAGTTCGTTCTGGTTAGCATTTATTACACTTCTATTTATTGGACCAACGAGACTTGAGGGACAATGATAGTGCTCTTTAATTATCTTTGTTGTGTATGAACTGCTGTCGTATATGGTTGACTTTTTTTGAAATACTATGTGGTTTGATTTTTAACTTGGAAAGCTTCTTTTGTTTCTGAAAAATATGTGCAGCTATACGCGCTATTGAGGTGAAAAATAACTCCACTCTCAATGGGAAAGTTATAAGGGTTTGCTGGTCTCGTCGTGACCCTGATGCGAGAAGAAGTGGGAAAGGAAACGTGTTCGTCAAGGTATGAGCATCCTTTGATTGAGTGAATAGTGTTCAATTGATTTGAGATCTTAACAGTTTCTCTATTTTTGATGCCTATCCAAATTCTTATTTTTACAGAATTTAAGTGATACAATTAACAATGCGAAGCTTCAAGAAATGTTTCAAAAGTTTGGAAATACCTTATCTTGTAAAGTTGTCTTTTCTGAGGAAGGGAACAGTAAAGGATATGGCTTTGTCCAGTTTGAGTCTGAAGAATCTGCGAATGCTGCTATTGAGAAGCTTAATGGGACCATGGTTGGAGACAAGCAGATGTATGTGCATCTCCGTATTTGTTGCAATCATCTAGCTTTCCATTTGACAATCATGATGAACTTAAATAAATTGATTGTTTTGTTGTTTATAAGCTTCTTATCTTAGTCTATGTATTTATGAATATCTTATGACATTGATGGCATAGGTATGCTGGTAAGTTTGTCAGGAAGAGTGACCGGATTTTGCCCAGTCCTGATGCTAAATACACAAATTTGTACTTCAAGAACTTGGACCTTGACATCTCGGAAGAGCATCTTAGAGAAAAATTCTCTGGGTTTGGGAAGATTATTAGCTTGGTCATTGCAAAAGATGAGAGTGGAGCTTCAAAAGGTTTTGGATTTGTGAACTTTGACGATCCTGATGATGCTAGGAGAGCAATGGAAGCTATGAATGGATCACCAATTGGTAAGTCATGGCTTTGTGATGCTGTTGTATTCTCAATGTGATTGCAGACGATCCATTTATTATTTTGTCTGAGACATGTATGCATTAAGTAGGCTCCAAGACCTTGTATGTAGCCCGAGCACAAAAGAAAGCAGAGCGCGAACAACTTTTGAAGCGTCTGTTTGAGGAGAGAAGGAAGGAGCAAATCATGAAATACCAGGTCCTCATTCTCATTTCTTTATCACAAAGAAATTATTGTATTTATGATCTATTTATGTAAATACTTGGATTATCATGTCAGGGTTCAAATGTGTATGTCAAGAATGTTGACGATGATGTCTCTGATAATGAGCTGCGCGAGCTGTTTAGCCAATGCGGCACAATTACTTCTGCAAAAGTTATGCAAGACGAGAAAGGTGTGAGTAAGGGCTTTGGATTTGTATGCTTCTCCACAGCAGAGGAGGCCTATAAAGCTGTGAATACTTTTCATGGTGAGTCATACATTTTAAATATGCTCTAGATCATAATGAATAACTAGGTGGTGAAAGTTATTTCACACGAGGTAATTATAGTAAAACATGCTACAATCTTTTATTTCTTCCCCGTGATCTTTTTGAGCACCACAAAACCAGGATATAGGATTTATGTGGAGCATCTCCATGATTTTAATCAGTTCACTGTAGGAAAAGTGACAGACATGAACCATCTAAAAAAGCAATTAAAATGAAGAACAAGTGCTGCCAAATAATGAGGCTCTCTATTTGGCTGATATGTAACAGACCAAGCATAACACTAAATTTTAAGGCAGAAACACGTGCTAGTGCTGAAGCAAACATATCTTTCATGAAGCTTGTGAAGCGAAATGAGTCAGTTATGGTCAGTGACAGCTATTAAAAAATTACATTAAACATCTTAGACTCTTAGAATTAGATTATAATTCTTATTTTGTTATCACTGTCTCACTTCATTCAGGTGGAAAGTTCTGAACTGAGCTTCATGTCATTTTGTATTTATGCTTTTTTTCCCACCTAAATGCTTTGGCAAGTGCTCTGCGATCATAGAGCCAATTTTATCACTAGTCACTAACAGGCTTTAGATGAATTTGGCTGAAACTTCTTTCCGACATACTCTTTGTTCAGTCGTATTTTTGACTAGAAAAGCAAATTAAGGAGACAAGCCATCTTTAGTTTCTCAAGAAGCCTAAATTTTGTTCCAGCCATTTTGCAAGTATTAAGACAAATAAATAGAGGAATTAGGCCAAGCTTGCGTATATTATTGGTCAAGTATATGTTATGTGCTTATTCCTTGTAAAAAAAATGTTTATGTGCTTATATCACCCCATGCTTGTATCAGCACATTCTTCACCCAATAAAGGTGCTTCAATTTTGGAAATTCTATGTTGTCTCTTGTTTCCTCTCTCATATTGTTCACCTACTCTTCGGTGTACTGACAGTTTCCGTTCTTGAATTGAGTGATTTACTTGCCATAATAGGTGTCTTGATCTCTTAGCATCACAGTTCGGCATTAACTGACTACACTGTATGAGCTTTGATGTTTATGAGATGTTTCACAGGATTTATGTTGCGTCGAAAGCCGTTATATGTGGCTATTGCTCAAAGAAAGGAGGAAAGACAGGCCCAACTACAGCTTCTATATGCACAACGACTTGCAGGGCTAACAGGACCTCCAGCTATGTTTCCTGGTGGATATCCTCCTTTTTACTACCCAGCCCCCGGTGTTGTTCCTCAAATGCCTACACGACCTGGGCTGATGTATCAGGCTCTCGGTGTGAGGCCGGGTTGGAGGACTAATGGGTTCACAAACACCACTAGACCTGCCTTTCAACCTTCTCCAGTTCCCTTGGTTAGTCCCTGTAAACACTCATAGCACTCACTTGGTATCTCTACTTTCTCCACTTCTTGGAGTTTGTTATGGTCGATTAAGTTCTATTTGAATGCACAAAAAATTTATCCTTTTAGCACCAGTTGGGACACGTTAAACTGTGTTAACATGCTATAACTTAAACTTATGATGAAGGAGGTCACAGCTTGCGTCTTATTTTTCAGATTCCTAATAATTCCCGACAATATAGGCAGAATAGGGGAAGGATGAATGGATATATGCCAGCTTCAAATGTGACAAGCGTGCAGCAATCAAGTCAATCAGTGGTGTTATCAAATGGCAATCCTCAGGTGGTTAACCTCCTTACCTATTTTACATAATGTGAAATCTTGATTGTCCAAGTGTAAGGGTACCAAAGTGCTTTTAGAAGTTCTATTTGGAATGCTTACGTTAAAAACTGTTTAACTTCAAAAGTTTGACATTTGGGGCTTCCATGAAATATGAGCTTGCATTTAGATTGAAAGGGATTAGTGTGCTTAAATTCATAGTCAGGTAAAGGATAGAATAATTTCGCAGAAGCATAAAGATTAGTATCTATTCCATTCTCAATTTTGTGTAGCTACTCGTGATTTTTGGTGTTGATAGTATAGTTTTTCAAGAAATCTTGCTCAACTCCTTTATATTGCCACCAGAAGTTTGTTTCATATTTTTGAAACATCTAGGCCTTCTGTGTGCTGGCACTAAATTTCCTGAAATTGTTGTGGTTAGTTGGTTATTTCTAATTTGTAGTATTGCATGTTATTTCTAATTTGTAGTATTGCACTATCATATATCATTATATCCACGTTTGCCTTATATTTACCTCAGCATTTTGGTACGACTCATGTCTCACAAAGTAGCTATAACATCTATACTTACATTCAAGTTACTCAGGAATTTTCATCTTGAAATGGGAACCTGGTTACTTTTCTTATTTCTCCCCCTAGACTGATTCTCTTCAGAGTTAACATATGTTAGAACTTAAATAGTTGTAATAAGAACCACTTAACACATTGTATAGTCCTCACACTTACTGGTCTCAACTATCGAGTAACTATGTTACGTTGTCCTCAAGTTTTAGGCATGGCGTGTGCATGGGCCATTTTGTTTGAGATAGTTAAGCTGGGAGTTTTCAGTTTAATCCTTCTTTCTCCTGTTGGAGTACTAAAGAGTGCATCTGCATAGGATACCCGCGTCTTAAATATCTTCTTTTCTCTATTAGAATTCTTTTGTCGAGCAAATCGATATATTTCCCTTTACAATCACTTTGAAAACCTAGTACCATATTTAAAAAGATAAGAGCTGGTTTAGCCATTTATAATTTCGGAGAAGAAGTTTGTTTTAAATATTAAAAGATAGCTTATTTGTTCATTTTACTTAGTTGTGTACGTTAATAAGCTACAAACTCCTACTGTTGGTGAATGCCTTAACCTAGTATAATAATTATTCGAAAAATCGCTAATTATTCTGTTTGATTGGTGGCCAATGTATCACTAAATACTCCCAAAATTTTGCATGCATGCAGCGTGCTGGGCAGTTCAAATATGTGCCCAATGGCCGGACTCGTGACATGAACAAAGGATCTGTTGCATCAAATGCTGGTTCTGCTGCAGTTGGATCTGTTGGATCAGTTGCTGAGGGATCTCAAATGCTGAGTACCTTGCTTGCTTCTGCTGCTCCTGAGCAGCAGAAACAGATACTTGGAGAGCGCCTTTATCCTCTTGTCAATCAACATAAGGTGAATTTCTTTCTATCTTTCCTTTTCCTTCAATAATAGCTTTTCGCTGGATTTCTTGTGCCAAATAATTTCAAGATTGCTGCTGGTTTATTGGTTCTTTTATCGAAAACCAAAAGATTAAAGAAACACTTGAGACAGGACTTAATTAATCCATCCTTAACAAATTGATTGCTTGGTTTGGTGGTCTGTCAAGAAGCTCTTTGAAGCTGTCTAGTTTTGTTCTCACTTACCTTTGGTTATTTACAATCAGTCTAACCTCAGTTAGTAGCGATTGGTCTTCGATGTTTCCTGACAACCGGAGAATTAGCAAAGCCATCTTAATAATGAAAATTACTTGGTTTCTGCAGCCCGACCTTGCTGCAAAGATAACGGGAATGCTCTTGGAGATGGACAATGCGGAACTACTGTTGTTGTTGGAGTCGCCGGAGTCTCTGGCAACCAAGGTGGAGGAAGCTGTTGAGGTGCTCAAGCTGTCTAAGGCTAAAGTTTCTAGCCAAGATTCACTTCATCCAAGTTTTCTTTCCGCGGAAGTTGCTGTCAACTGAAGAAAGGCTGCTGTGACAATTTTGTCTTTAGAAAAGTTTGAGGTTTTCTGAAGGGGTGGTGGTATGGTTAGGTAATAGAGTAAGCAAGGGTTGTCATACATTCTGGCAACCCCACACTCCGCTGCATGGAGTTCACATTTCGGCTTTTTGTCTGAAAATAGACTTATCTCTATTTACCTTCTTTAGAGGGATTTACTTCAGATTTTACATGACTTTATATTATATTTTGGTTTTAGTGCAGACTTTTGAAATTTTTTATGATGGTGTGTTTCTTTTTATATTTGTCTTAGTTAAATATCCTTCTATATATGATGTGTGCATGCTGCGATAGCTTTTGGGAAGCCAAAAACACTTTTATTCTCCAAAAAAACACATTTCTTTTGTGTGGAGACTTGAGGTGTTTGACCAAAAACAAGAAGTGGTTTGAGAACCAGCAGAAACAGTTGTTCTCTGTTGTTGGGGAAGCTACAAGTTGTTCTTAAGGAGAAGCAGAAATTAATTCTTTCAAGACAAAAAAGTGTATTTATCAATTATCTCCCTTTAATTTAACCCATATATCTCAAATGAAAATTTGTATTTACCAAACTCTCTCCTGTTAATTTAACCCATTATCTCTCGCGTATAATTAAATACAACCCTCTTTCTCCTCTTCTCCTTTTTTTTCCTTGTCTAATTATATTTATATTGATTAAAAACCTAATTAATATATACTTATAGTTTATGTTTTTAGATTTTTATCTATATCTATATTATTATAAAAGCATGAATGCTAGAAAGTTAAATGTTGAACGACAAAAATATCCCTATAATATTGACCGATAGTTATACCCTTCATAAATTAAAATATCCTATATAAAGAAACAAATTACATGTTGGATATGTAGGACCCATAAAAGGAAAAAAGGAAATAAAGAAAAAGTTAAAAAAGTTGGTGAAGTCAAATTAGGGTGGCTGAAATTTTTTCAATAAGGGCGGCTGAAATCTGGACTTTACAAATTGAGGAACCAATCAGATTGGTTGGGTTGGTGAAAATGTGCCTATAAATATGAGCTTCATTCGTTCAGTTTAAGTACACCAAAATAACGAGAGAAGCATAAAGTAGTGAGAGTAATCCACAGATTGTGGTCTGTGAGATAACTAGTGAGTGGTAGTAATATTGTAGTGGGGTATTTTAAATAAAGAGTGTTATTTCTTTCAAAGTTGTAGTAGTCTCTTGACACTACTGAGTTGTAATATTATAGTGGTAATATTGCTCCACTCGGGTATTGCATTTTATCCCGCTAAAATATTTGGTGTCATTGTTACTCTCTTGT